TTCTTACTTAGCTCTGCCCCCTCTTGAACCGTTTACTGGGAACCATGAAAAATAAGCTTCCATTCTTTTCTATTTTCTCACGTTTTCTGACAACTACTAATTTTCCTAATTTCGCAGCAGCAGTTTTCTTTTTTTTAGTGTTTATTATTTATTTATTTATTTATTTATTTATTTCCTACGTTTTTATTTATTTTTGGGACAGAGAGAGACAGAGCATGAACGGGGGAGGGGCAGAGAGAGAGGGAGACACAGAATCGGAAACAGGCTCCAGGCTCCGAGCCACCAGCCCAGAGCCCGACGCGGGGCTCGAACTCACGGACCGCGAGATCGCGACCTGGCTGAAGTCGGACGCTTAACCGACTGCGCCACCCAGGCGCCCCAGTGTTTATTATTTAAAGAAAGAGCGTGAGTGAGGGACGGACAGGGAGAGAGGGAGACACAAAATCCAAAGCAGGCTCCAGGCCCTGAGCTGTCAGCACAGAGCCCGACGCAGGGCTCAAACCCACACACGGTGAGATCGTGACCTGAGCCGAAGTCGGATGCTTAACTGACTGAGCCATCCAGGTGCCCTGCAGCAGTAATTATTATAGATACTGCTTTCTGGAACAAACTGACTCTTCAGCCCTTGTACCCTCCAGGTTAAACTCTGAGAGCACGAAGAACTGGGGCAGAGAAAAAAATTTGCTTTATTTTCCTTTCCTATATCCTGACTCTGGGTGATGCTTTCTTCCCCTTTCTAGTTCAATAAACATACATGTGTCTGGGCATCTTCCTGTTGAGACTTGCCCCCGCCCTGGCGTGGGGTTGATCTTACATTTGGAGAATTGACAGCTGTAATGTTTCATATCCCCCACCCTCCCCCCCTCCTCCCCCCACCTCTGCCATCACTGGGTGTTCAGGTCTCATGATTGTCCAGTTCACATAAAGCATGGGAATCACAGCTTTTTTTCATGCTGTTTCCTCTCCTTTGTCCTACAAAGGGGCGAAAGAAAGTCGAGTCTTAGGAGACACTATGAAAGAGTAAACACAGCTCTTTTAGAGAATGCAAATGGTGACTTGTTTTGCATGACTCAAACAAAAAGGAATTAAAACTGGTATGTGAATCAAAATCTTTCACTGTCTGAAGGGAACATCACAGAGGAAACCACAAGTGGAAGGTATTAAGGTCAGCCTTTATTTAGAAATTGAAGGAGAGTCACCTTCATGATGGAGTGTATCCTTCACTAAAGTAAACTCTTGCATGCTGACACGTAAAATTGCATTCTCGGTGATTTAATTCCTCATAGAAATGTCCCTCTGACCCTTTAACCTTCTTATTAAAGTCAGGTACTCCTGAGATGATCAGCATTTTCAGATAGTTCCCTCGTTCTTTAGAAGCGTTTCTCATTATTGGAATTTAAAAGCTATACAAGCTGTCTACTATACATTGACAGACGCAAAGATGTGTGAATGTGATACGAATATTCCACTGCGTTACCAAGGGACTGTTTCCTTGTCCGTCCTTTGATTATTTGTAAGGAAATTGCTTCATGACGCCCAGCCTCACACTTCCCCAACTGGTCCCTCCTTGGCCCTTTCTTGCGCGGTGCTCAGCTCGCCTCAGTCACATCCAGGAGCAGAGCCGTCCAGCAATTGAAGAGTTGGTGGAAGATTAATTTTTCTCCCCTTTCTGGGTTTCCTGCTATTGGTGAAAAGTGCGGCAGGCAGTGGAATGTTGGTGTGTTTGGCATTCTTTGGGAAGATGCACCATTGTGAAAACATAAGTGCGCGCTGCTGTTTTAATAGTGTCCAAATAGATCATTGAATTTATGGACATCTAAATTTAATTCCAGAAATCAAAGCTATGGTAATAAGAGCTGGACCTGCGTTCTCTTAGGCCAAGTAATTTAATTCCTCAGCGAGTTGAACTATTATGTATTTCTGTTCCTTATTATGCCAGTAAATTGCTCAGGCAGATGCAGTGATGGATGATGGGCATGTATTTCACTCCTTTTTTTTATGGCTAGACACATTCTAGAATGCAGATCACTTTAAACGCAGCTGTTTTCATAACCGTGTTTTCTGTTTGGAGCCTAAGTCAAGTCCTAACGGGAGGTTGGGGGAGGTTCTTGGGGGTACCCATAGTCATACTTTTATTGTCCCGCCTAGAAGCACAACGCTGTCTTAACCCTGGGTCACATCCTTGGACGCTGTCATTCCATTCGTGCCTCAACACAGCATTTATACTTCGTGCTTTAAGGAGAATATTGGCTTGGTCTGGTTTCTCTCCTGGGCTCTACCTCACTTTTCTACTTAATTTGGAGACTTAATTTGACTGGACACAGAAGGGAATAAATCAGCTGGGGGCACACGTCGGATCATTCTTCTGTGCACACGACTACAACAGTGAGATCCTATAGAAAAGTGAGGAAGCAGGATACTGTGTAACATTCAGGGCATCTGAGCACCTGTTAAGAATTCTTGGGAACTGTTGCCTCAACTAGACTTTTGTGCGGGAATGCAGGCAGTCGAGAAATAATGATTGCACCCTGTTTATCTTTAAGTGGACGAAGGCTCCTATCACCTGATTATCAATGCCAACATTTTCCCCTCTTACTTTTTCTTCATGGCCTCATGGAAGTGTTAAAATTCCTGGTCAGGGTCTTCTCTGTTCCATTTGTTTTATTACCACACCAATAAGTTACCATTGATACTATTCTGCTTAGTAAGTTTCTCCTTTTTCTCTAGGCACATGCTTCAATTTCTTTGGATGTGTTCATTCATGATCCTTGCATCATTGATCAGCATCAGAAAGGTGGTCCACTTGGCAGGCCATACACATTTTTATAGAACTTCCATAAAAGTTCCTTACGTTATGAGTTAATTGATAAAAGGAATTCTTTCTAGTGCTATATCCATCTCTTTACATACCTTTTTTTTGTTGTTTATTTTTGGGAGAGAGAGACAGTGCAAGTGGGGGAGGGGCAGAGAGAAAGGGAGAGGAGGACACAGGATCTGAAGCACAGACCCGTCAGCACAGAGCCTGACACGGGGCTCGAACCCACGAACCAGGAGACCATGACCCGAGCTGAAGTCGGATGCTCAACCAGCTGAGCTACCCAGGCGCCCCTAGCTTTTTCTTTTTCATTCTTGGCGAAATGACTTGGAGCTGTCTTTCAGACTTCATTTGCAGGCGCCTTTTGCCATCTCCCTTCCTGTCCCCCCACACCACAGAATCCTACTGTTCTAGTTCCGTAACATGTTCGAAATCTGATTCCCTATGCAATGCCCAGCTCACTTGGAGCGTTCCCAGGCTCCAGGTGTGGCTCACACAAAGTCTTTAGGTTCCTGTCGCTTCTCCCAACCACAAACTTCTTATAGGCAAAAATCAGCTGTAGGGCCACAATACCCCAGTCTCTTTTTTTTCTGTGGACAGAAATTGTCAGCATGGCAACCCTCAATCCTATTCTTGTGGTCTTGTCACATAAGACCTGTGGCAGTTGCTCTGGTAGCTTGAAACACCCAGCACGTGTAGATCTTCCTCCTGTACTGTTTTTGTGATCTGAGCTAGGATGAAATGTGTGTTTCTGCTATCTAGCCAGATGGTACGTGATATATACTTTTACTTGTTTAACGCTTAGGTTCCTGTCTTCGTTTATCACCTTTCAAATGCTCTTGACCATGCCTGCACTGCAGGTACTTGATTTCTACAAGGATGTCTCGCTCGGGCTTTCTGATTTTGTTCGAGACTACCCTTCTGCCCTCCAAATGTGCTGATTTATTATTCAACACTGTGCATCAGGATATGCATACTTAATGCCTTATGTATTATTTCTGCTCCCCTTCCCAATTATACTGTGATTTACTGGCTCTCTGTTAACCATTATTCTCAGCATTGCATATTTCAGTGGTTCTCAGAATATCGTACCCTGAATATACCAGCATCAGTATCGCCCAGGAAGTTGTTAGAAATACAGATTCTCAGGCCCCGTCCTAAACCCACTGATTCAGAAACCTTGGTGGGTGGTGCCTGGTGGTCTGTGTTTCAAGAAGCCTTCCAAGTAATTCTGATAGTCGCTGACATTTGACAACCCCTGAAATACTTGATATTCTACAGCATGCCACAGGGAGCAAGAGTAGGGAAGACAACTGTATAGTTTCAGTAGGTCTCGCTGACCGCTGGATATCACAGATTTATTTACACCAGTTTCTTCTTCCTCATCTATATCCAGTTGAATAGCAGTATTTCAACTGATTTCCGCCTTTACTGAGTGTCTGCCATGCAGATGCTGTGTGGTATTTTCGCATACATTATGAGAAATCATCCTACACAGCAGATTCAGCTTGGATATTCCCCTTCCTCTCTCCTGTTTAAACACGCTTTGTTTTTTTTTTTTTTTTTTTTTTTTAGAGCACTTTTAGGTTTACAGAAAATTTGAGCAGCGAGTAGAAAGACCGCCCCCCTCCCCTCTCTCCCCCTACCCCCACACTTCCTCTGTTGTTAACGTCTTTATTAGTATACTACCTCTGACCCAATATTGATACATTAGTGATAAAGTACATAGTTTATGTTAGAGTTCACTTCTTGTGTCATACAGTTGTGTTGGTTTTGACCAATGCATGTGTCCTGTGTTCACTGCGACAGTGTCTTACAGAGCCTGCTCTAAAAAATCCCCTATGCTCTGCCTACTCATCCCTCCCTTCTTCACCCCGCCCCCCACCCCCACCAGGAACCACTCTGTAATTTTGGCTTTTCCAGAAAAGCATTTAGTCCAACTCATGGTATACCATTCTTGCAACCGTGTAAACTAAGAAGAGCTGTGCCCAAGGGGCAGAACGCTGTGGACCTAGTGAGCTAGGATTCCCACATACACCTGCTGCCTTCCAGCCTTGTGTGTGTTGTTTGCCTCAAGGGCCACATTCCCTCCAAAATCACTACCGTCCTTTGTTGTCGCTTCCCCCCTCCCCTTTCTGAAATTTGTTTAAATGACTGTCACCGTTGTTTCCATTTCCTGCTGCAGTGAGGACAAAGTAGTAGAAGTAGCAGAGGAAGAAGAGGGGGCTGACATCGAGGACGAAGAGGCCGAGGATGACGAGGATGACGAAGATGGTGATGAGGTGGAGGAAGAGGCAGAAGAACCCTATGAAGAGGCCACCGAGCGAACCACCAGCATCGCCACGACCACCACCACCACCACGGAGTCTGTGGAAGAGGTGGTGCGAGGTAATGCACTGTTTGTTGGGATTTCCTCCGTCAGGGAAAAGGAAAGCCTCGTGTCCGCTACCCAGCCTAGCACCACCGCCGTCCCCAACCAAAAATAAGATGCACGATAACGGGTCTTAACGCTTGTGAAGCTCTCTTTGGCTTAACCAGCAGTCCAACAATTCATTTCAAATGATGTGAGGTCCCGATGGTACGCACTGTTCCTCTTGGCACGTGCCAGCTTGTTCTGCAAAACTCCAGCCGACCGGGTGCGATCTCACTCGGCTGAGGCTGAGTTAGGTGACCTGGTTGGTACGTCCCTGGCACTGGGTTTTTAGCACAGTCTTATTACCTGTTGTCTCTTTCACCACTTGAACTATGAGCATCTCCAGGGCAAGGACTGGCTTTTACTTACCATGCAGAGTGCCTGCTTTGTAGAAACTTGTAGATAAATCTTAGGCGAGTGAGTAGTTGGAAGTAAATGCCATTGAACGACAACATTTGGTGGGTTATCACATTACTTGTGACTGTGAAATGTAACGGGGATGATTTTTGTGTTGTCTTTACACTGTTTTACTGGGGGAGGTGGCACAGGGCCTTCTTTGAGAGATAGATGTTGTGTTAATATCTTAAGACTTTCTTTTTTGGTACTTAATTAATGCTCCTATTAAGAATGTTGGGACGCGAATGAACTAACAGACTTCCTTTTTTGTCTCCCTGGAAGGAAAGCAAGGGTTGAGTTTACGCTGAACAACCAAAAGTCATGATAGCAACTAGTGAATTGTAGGGCTGTGTTTCTTAAAGGGGATGCCTTTGTTTTGCAAATAGTGAAAGACGGTCCTAGAATGAGATCCAGTGACTATGGATGGATGGAGTTTTAATGTATTCAAATACTTTTATAGTCCGCCACAAATGCTACAATATTGTAAGTTTTCCTCTCACTTTTTATTAAGGTAAAATGAGTTCAGCGCCGTTGTTAAATTGGAGCTTAAAATGGGTTAGTTTCTCTGCCTTAAGTAGATTCCTAATGACCACTGTATTATCTTCTTTCCTTCACTGCAGATTATCTTTAATTTACATATAATTTACATATAAAATTCACTCATTTTAAGTATATAAGTGCATAAGTCAGTGGCTTTAATAAATTTACCAAATTAAGCAACCGCCTTCATAATCCAGTCTTAGAGCGTTGTCATCATCCCGATAAGATCCCTCACACCCATTCAGTTCATCCTTGCTGTCACCGCCAGCCTCCAGCAACAACCAATGTACTTTACGTCTCTACAGATTTGCTTTTTCTAGACATTTTAATGTAAGTGGGATCATACATGCTCTTTTGTGTCTGGCTTCTTTCACTTAAAATAGTGTTTTTGAAGCTCTGGGTTTCTTTACCTTGTAGCTTTTAAGAAAGACCAACATTACTCTGGGGCGCCTGGGCGGCTTAGTCAGTTAAGCGCCGACTTCGGCTCAGGTCATGATCTCAGGGTTCACAAGTTCAAGCCCCGCGTCGGGCTCTGTTCTGACAGCTCAGAGCCTGGAGCCTGCTTCGGGATTCTGTGTCTCCCTCTCTGTCTGCCTCTTCCCTCACACTCTGTCTCTCTCAAAAATAAGTAAACATTAAAAAAAAATTTCTTTAAATAAAACACTCAGACTTCACTGAAAATTCATTGAAAGAGTCACATATTCTTAAAAAAATGTAGCAGAAAATACATTGCTTAACTTTATCATTCTCTGCTTAATGATAACTTCTTATTGCATTTAGCACATAAGGGCTTCTGTGAGTAGATCTATATTTAAGTAAATGCAGGTTTTATTTGAGCCGCTGCTTTCTCAAAACTCCAGACATCCTTTCCTGGAATGTTCGTCGTGTACCTCTTAGGATCACCTGTGGCAGATCTGACTAAATGAACTTGTTAGCTTCTCTTTTCCTAGAAAGGAAAAGAGGGATTTTTTTCAGAGCTTCTCTTCTTGAAACCTAAGAAGACTACAAATTACTGCAGTTAGTATTCTGCAGTGACTCTGACTTTTTCGGGGTCTCCACCAGGGTAGCTATTTACATAATAATGTCCGTCTACTCAACATTGGTTTTTGGGGGGGTGCCTTTTGGGTACAAGCCATTTTGCTGGGCTTGGTGAATCATAGGATGAGAACACACGGGATAGCCAGCCGTCATGGATGTTAAAATCTTGTAGGAAATTTACATCAAAGAAACACAGAGAGTCATCTGTGTTAAAAAGCAGGAGCCCAGAACCCACTTCTGGGTAAGAGATTGATCAGAGAAGGATCTATGGAAGGAGATGGAAGTGGAAAGGCTCATGGCAGCGCTACCAACGGATTTTACTTTAGCGTACCTTAGAGTCCGTGGGGATAGCAAAACAGATTTGCCCCGGGAGGGTACATGGCAAGTCTGGGAGACAAGACAATCTGATTTAAACTAGAGCAGGTGTCTTAGATAAGAGAGTTACAGGGAATTCGGTTGGGGCCAAAATGTGGAGACCTTCAGTGCCAGGCCGACAAGCATGAGCATGAGCTGACGGGGATCACTTCTGCCTCGTGCGGAGAAATTTTCTGGTAGAAACAGTGAAGGGATTTTGTTGTGATGTTGCTGCCATGAGGAGATAGGGGAACAGGGAGTAACAATGAATGCAGTGTAATGAGAAAATACCACGTAAACTTTTGCCGATATTCCAAACCAACAGAATTCCCTTGAGATAATACGGTCTTATTATGTTCTGAATGAGAGAGAGAAGTCTCTTGAGATAATGGGGTCTTGTTATGTTCTGAACAAGTCCAGATCTTTTGCCTGAGTTTTTCTCTCGATGTAGCGTTCTTAGCTAAGATCAAACCAGAGGGGGACGTATGTTGCAATATTTTCTGTAGGAAGACAAAGGCGATTAAATGATTGGTTTTAAATCTCCAAGCAAGAGACTTTTTTTGGTGTATTGGGTCCATGTCAGAGAGTTTGCTGAATTCCCAGCTAACTCCAACAAAGAAGTAGAAGTTTAAACGGTTAATGTTAAAGGGGCCAGCTGCAGAGAGCTCATTCCCTCCTGGTCACTGGTGTAGGTGAGTTATGGTTCTTCCCTGAGGAAGAACAACGGTAATGCCATATGTGATGGCTGACTTTGTTCAACTCTGCTTAAAAGTAGCCCAGTTCCTGTGCTGAAAATAAAAACCACAAGTGACTTGCAAGGAAGAGATATTGAAAAGAGGCTCACAATATAGTTGTCACTGGTAATGTTTCAGTGCCTGAGAGAAAATGTGATTCACACCTATACTTAATAAGAAAACTGTTTCTTCATTACCAACATACTGCTACTAATACGATTCCTTAACGTGCTTCGTAACAAAAACTCAGTCCCTCTGTAACCTGTTTAAATTTGAAAGAAATAAGTAGGGGGAAGGAAAGTCTAAGACGCTTCGACATGGTCATCAAATTTTCAGCTATTTTGTATTAGAATCAATGATGCTGAAGTGGAAGATGTCAGTTCTAACTCTGTTAGCAATTCCAGAGGAAAAAGTGAACACACCACCATATCCATCCTGGCTTTAGGATTTATTGGTTTAAGTACCTAAGGACAACTTGGATATTGATCCAGTGGAATAAGCCAATACCAATTTGAGTGAAACCACAGTATATTTAGACTCTTGCTCCTAATTCTCTTTGATTTGAGAAGGAATAACACTTCATGAACCCAAGACGTCAGGGCGATTTCTGACTCACTCATGGATTCTAAACTGGTTGGACATTGGTATTATAGGGGCACCTGCGTGGCTTAGTTGGTTAAGTGTCTGACTGTAGATTTCAGCTCAGGTCATGATCCCACGAGCCCCACGTCAGGCTCTGCCCTGACAGGGCGTGGAGCCTACTTGGGATTCATTCTCTCTCTCTCTCTCTCTCTCTCTCTCTCTCTCTCTCTCTCCCCCCCCCTCTCTGCCGCTTCCCTCGACACACTCTCTCTCTCTCTCTCTCAAAATAAATAAATAAACTTTAAAAAAGCAATTGTTTCGGGGCACCTGGGTGGCTCAGTCAGTTAAGCGTCTGACTTCGGCTCAGGTCATGATCTCACAGTTCGTGAGTTCAAGCCCCGCATCGGGCTCTGTGCTGACAGCTCGGAGCCTGGAGCCTGCTTCAGATTCTGTGTCTCCCTCTCTCTCTGGCCCTTCCCCTCTCTCTCTCTGTCTCTCTCAAAAATAAATAAACATTAAAAAAATTTTTTTTTAAAAGCAATTGTTTCTATCTTTTAATCCTTGTGACAGTGCTGTGTGGTAGAAATCTCATTTCTCCATTTACAACTAAGACAACTAAGGCCTAGAAAAAAAATTTTTTTTAATTGCCCATGGTCACAAAGGTGAGAGGCATGAAGGCAACACTTAGATCCAAGTGGACCAGGGTATTTCTACTACATTAATGTCAAATTTTTCTTTTTCCTTTTCCTCTTGTTTACAAATACTATTTCAGTTTAACCTGTACTCCCTGGTAGATATGGATCCCTTTTCTGTAGTCCTATATTCATCCTATAATATTTCACATGGAATGCTTCCTAAATTTTAGAATTATTATTTAAATACTAATAATAATAATCGGGGCACCCGGGTGGCTCAGTTGGTTAGGCATTGAACTCCTGATCTGGGCTCAGGTCGTGAGCTCGGTGAGATCAGGTCCCGAGTCAGGTTCTGTGCTGACAGTTCCCAGCCTGCTTGTGATTCTCTGTCTCTCTCTGCCCCTCCCCCACTTGTTCTCTCTTTCTCTCTCTAAATAAATAAACATAAAAATATTTTAAAAATAACAAAAAACACTGTGATGAGTAATAATAATAATAATAATCAGGGGTCAGCAAACTATGACCATGGGGCCATATGGCCAGTTACCTATTTCCTAATACAAAGGTTTTCTTAGGGCACAGCCAATCCCCTTTGTTTATATACTGTCTGTAGCTGCCTTCGTGCTATGGAGGCAGAGGTGAGTATTTGCAAGAAAACGCCATATGGCCTTCTAAACTGGAAGTGTTTACTATCTG